AAAAACCGGAATCTTGATGCTCTTCTCTGTTCCCGCAATCCAAACAAGCTTCACATTGCAATCCTCTTCCTGATGGCTGTGCTGCACCAACCAAAAGGGAACTACCACATGTTTGCAAGTGTCGTCGTCGTTATCTTTGGGTAGAATGTTGGCTCCGGAAAGCCAAAACTTGCGGTCGTCTCCTTGCCAGTCCGTCTGCACCTCAAACATGGTGTTGCCTTGGCCCTGGGATTTCTGCACGACCTTGTTGGTCATGGGCACCATGCAGAGTTTCTTGATGTCCGAGTTGGCAAGCAACATCCTCGAAGGCTTCAGCTGCAATTTCAGGTGCTCCGATCCACACTCCATGGACTGGTGAAGCTTGTAGAGCTCAAGCTGAATCTTCGATGCAAGAATGCTGGCATCAAAATCCACATGGTGCTGGTACTGGTCCAAGCTGTCTAGCATTGTGGGCTGCACACGAGGAACAAACACGACCCAATCTCCAGCCAGGATAACATTGAGATCCACCTTGGCCGTCTTTCCCGAAGCCATCTTCACAAAGACCATCTGACCTTTCACTTCTGAAAGAACTCCCTCGATTTTGTCAACCTTGCGACGGATGTGTGCACCCATAGCGAAACCCTTGGAGGCCAATATCTTCTCAGGTTCCTTGATACTGCCGTCTTCAGCAAGCTCAAGCATCACACCTGCAGCAGAAGGCTGGGAAGCAGTCGCTGCAGTTGCAGCTGGTTCACTTTGCTCAGACACCGACTCCCATGGCAAAGGGAGTGCAACACCGGTCAGGTTTCTTGCCACGAGCAAAAAATCGTGCCCAATCGCTTGGACTGTTTTGTACTTTTTCTCGTCCGGCACCTTGATGCCGAGGACGTGCGATGCTATCGTCATATCCATAGTGGCCAGAGCTTGCACGACCCGCGAATCCGTCATGAAATCGCGAGCTCCATCCCTTAAGATGCCCCTGACCGTGAGGATCATGTTGTCAGCTTCCTTGACCTTGGGGAAGAGTTCTTTAGAAGTCATCTTCTTCACATCAGCAATGGTCACATTCTGCCTCAAGTATGCCTGCTTCATGAGTGCATGGCGAAATGCTGCAACGGGATCTGACTGGTGCCCTCGGCAATCTTGCCCGAAAGCCTCCCACAGGACAGGCCCCAATTGCCGAGAAGAAGGGCAGTAAGCCCGCACAAAGGACTCCGTCTCCTGAAGGAAGCTCGCATCGGCACCCCCGGAAGCCTTCAGACAAAACGTAAACATGTGGGGTACGGAGGCATGGCAGCTTGGTTTGCTGGCCAATATCAACTTCTTCAGAGATGCAAAAGCCGGTGCTTGGCCAGTCTGAGTCTGCAAGCGGTAGTACGTGGAATGGATGCGACGGAGTACTTGTAGCTCATGTTCTCCTCGTTGAAGCGATGTGTTGCCTGACCGGGATATCAAGCTGATCAGCTCTGGGAACTCTTCCGCCACGGAGGAGGAGATCACGTCCCACGTCAGGCCTTGATCAGCTGCTTCGTGGAACGAAGCATCCCGAGCACGAAGAAGCTCCATGCTGAGCTTTCCACCCACACTCACGACCTCGTTGCCGTGGCTTGCACCTTGTTGAAAAAGTCGCAAAGCGCAATTGGTATGTGATCCGCAGATCGAAGTGATCTTGATCGCTTCCGGCTCAAGGCTTCCGAGAAGACCGTGGGCTGACTCGAACAGCTTCTTGTTCCACTGCCGGACCCAGTCTCCTTCGACTTCGACACCGACCGCATGCACACGTGTGGGGACATAGCCCACATCGACAATCGAGTCCACAAGATCACGAACGTCTTGTGGATTCACTCCGTACCCATCCCGGTTGCAGGGATGGATCCCCACAAGGCTCGCCTCCAACTTCATGGAGGTCAAGAGATGCTTGGACTTCAAGTAGTTCAAGCAGTTCTCCACGATTCGGACAAGGCCGTCGCCATCCGAGGCTTCTCGAAGGAAAGCCTGCAGCCGCTCTCGCACATCCGACTGCAAAGGCATGATGGGCAAGCGAGATGGAGGACGGAGCTGAAAATCTGCCTGCGAGCCAAGGGCCCTGCAATGGCGATAGATGGCTGCAATGCATGGAGTCATGCACAATACACAGAAGGCAAGCATGCGAGCATGTCCTCAACACATGCAATGCAGCAGCTTTCCATGCAATTTTCAATTGCATCCTGAATACATGCGGCAGGAGATCTCCATGCAAGCTTCCGTTTGAAGCTTTGCAAATGCCAGGAAAACAACTTCAAATAAACAACTTACACCACTTACCTAAATCAGTTACACAAAGTTATCTAAGTTTGGCAAGTTGCTTAAAAGACTTGTTCTATCTTACTTATAAGTTCCACCCTGCTTTTGGCTAAGTGACTCAACTGCTTGCTCCACTTCTTAATTCAAGCCTCGGACTTGCTAAGTTGTCCATACAACATAGTATATATACAGCACTTATAACTCATGTTAACGAACTTGTAACTCAACTTAACCTGATTGTCTAAATCTCCTAAACCATGTATTCGATTACTAAACACCCCGCCCCTTCAAGTATGCATCAGTTCACGCACTCCTTGCATCTTGAGTCTGTGCAGCGTTGTACTCCGCTTGGCTTGACAGCAGAAAGCCCCTGCAAATACTGCGGGACCGCCCACGCCCAACCGCGAAGACACTTGCAGAGCTGCTCAGCTGTGTACCAGGCATCCCTTGCAAACCTCTACTTCCGATCACAAAATCTGCCATCTGCTGAGGATCAACATGGGCGAGGAGAACCGGCGAGCGGTGGCAGCGGACGAGGCCAAGGAGGTCTTTGGTGGCCTAGCTGCCCAGTCACAGGCCATGGAAACCGACCAGACCCAGAAAGACGCCGGTGCGGAGAAGGACAAGGACTGGGAAAGCTGGGCGAGCCGCGACAAGGCAAAGTTTCAGCGGAAGGGAGAGTCGGCGGGCAAAGGCGGCTGGTATTCGTGGGAACGCCAGTCCAAGCGCAAAGAGCCGACCGTCACCACCCAGGACGAGACAGGCCAGCTGGATCAGGCCACGCAGCACCTGATCCAGTCGATGACCAAACTGGTCCTTCGACACGAAGGAGAGTTGGCTCACCTCCGACGCGAGATGGGGTACATGATGTTCGTGGACACAGAGCAGTACTCTTGCCTGGAGACACTGAAGCAAGCTGCAGTGAAATGGCAGGACCTGTACGCGAACAACAAGGTCACCTCGCCTCTAGGGCTGACGCTGATGCTGGGCCTGGTCCAGACACTACGAGCCAAGCTCGAGGACCTACTTCGAGACGAGCAACTTCTTCAGCGCTACAAGAACTGCGGATGGATCGGCGAAGGAGCCAATGCCCTCACCCCGATGTGGCACTGCTACTTCGAATGGAATCCCACCGACAAGAAGGAGTTCCAGTCGTCAACCCCTCCGCTTCCGCACAATCGGGTTATGGAAATTCTGGAGGAGGTGGAACGCTTTCTGCCACAGCAAGGAGTTCTGCTGAAGTTCAGGGCCACGAAGGACATCACCCAGGACACCCAGGCGGAGGTGGTGCCCTTTGTGATCACGATCGGCCTGCGAACGGAAGGGGCTCAGAAAGTATTCGAAGGTCTCAGACTCCTCTCCGGAAATGCGGTGATGAAGCTGCTGGGAGCTCGCCTGCGGCCGGAAAGGGGCCAGCGGCAACCCTTGGCCAAGCAGGTGGAGACGGCCTACAAGGCCACCCACTACTGCGACTGGCAGAAGGAGAAGAGCTGGAAGTAGCCGATCTAGGTCGATCGGCTACTGTTGCACTTAGGGAAGTGCAACGCTGGGAGCGCCCTCCCCTCAGCTTGCCACAAGCCCGTCTCCGTAATCCCCATAATGTATGCTACATCAACTCCTGTATTCAGGCCTTCTTCTGGATTGGAGCCCTGGCTGGGGATGATACCACCGCATGTGGATCTCTCAAGGCCGGCATTAATGCGCTAAGGGTTCGGGGTTCGCTCTACTTGCCAGACAGTCTTCAGTGGCGTTTTCTGTTTGCGCAATGGCACAACATCCGTCAGCAGCACGATGTAGCTGAGTTTTATCAACACGTGCTGCGTCGGACCACGCCGCTTGCCTACTTTGGACGCTGGGAGTCACGCTTGACACTCCCCTTTCAAATCACAGACTCAGGCGAGCTGGTGTCTCCGGTTCTGCTTCATCTTGCAGGCGCTAACCTTGTCACACTGATTCGCCACTGGCGTGATCAATATGCTGTATCTGCGCTCGTTCAGCATAGTGGTCTTGTAGTCCTGCAGCTGTGTCGCTACAGTGAGGATGCCGGCAAGAATCGCAGTCCCATACCCCTGCTGCCAGGAGCACGCCTCACACTGCCGATCTTTGAAGGTGAAGGCGGCACTGACACCCGAGAGGAGACCTTTATCATAGCTTGGGTTATATTTCACCTAGGTGAGGTTCCGACTAGTGGCCATTATCAAGCCGCGCTGAGTGTCCCCAACAAGCAGCGATGGGAGTTTTACATCTGCAACGATAATGCCTCCCCTCGTAAGGCTAAGAAGGAAGATCATGACACCATAGCTGCCAATGGCTACCTGATTGGCCTCCTCCGGGCTGAATAATAGCGGCTACAGCCAATCTGCACAGTTGCTCCGATGGAGTCTCTGGCGCTGCCCAAAGTGCCTCAATCTTGCATGATGCCGAAGCGCGATCGTGCAGCTGTTCCACACCAAAATACGTCGTTCTGCCCAATTTGCGTGTCTGCAGACTTGTTGTCACCTGCATGCCTTTTCATTTCTTTGCAAACAGCACATACCTCGCATTACCTGCCGTTTTCCGCCGCCTCTCAGCCAGTTTTGCAGTGGGATCCACAGCGGTGCCCGAAACACATCACCGCCACGGCCTCAGCATTGACCCTGCGTGATTGACCTTAATCCTTCCATACCGCCGAGTGGTTTTGGCGAGCTCTGAGCTGCGCCCTGGCCAAGTTTCAATTTTTCCCCATTATTGAACGAATGGCCGCAGAGTGTCCACTTCCGTCAGATGTCTACACAGAGGCACTTGAGAATCACCTGCTGCTGGCATGCTTGGCCTCGTTATTTTACTCCCAGGATGGCCACTTTCTGCCACCTGGTTACAGCATGCTTTGTCGCAATGATATCTTACAGGAAGCAAAGCGGCTCTTGGCAGCGGACAGATATTCTGATTTTCTGCACTATTCTATGGCATTGAGTGAGACTTTACCATCTTACCCCAACGCCATTCTGCCTGAAGCGACGCCTCTCTCTGGTACAGGTCATAGTGCAGCTGAATCTCATGCCTTCAACATTCTAGCCGCCGGCAATGCCTCGATCTGGGAAGCAGTGCGCTGTGTTATCAGGCAACTATGCTTCGAGAAGCCTAGGCACCGCTCTATGGTCAATCAGCAGGGTGCCAAAAGCTTCACTGTTGGTATATTTGCAAGGCATCAATTGGTGGGACTGAGCAAAGCAACGCTTGTTCACCCCAACGTTTGCAAGCTTCTATGCTCGTACATAGCCCACCTTTGCCCAGGCTTCTGCTGGACTACTCTTGTTGTACACTGCAACTACGCCACGCCTGTGCACCGCGATCCTGCCAATGGTCCGTTCTCCAATCTTCTTACCATGATCAGTACTACGGATAGTGGCGGGCTATGGATGCAAGATTCGACAGGCAGCGACTTTCAAGAGCTTCCGGACGGTATGTGTGTCGGCCGGTACCTCCAATTGCAGGATCAGTACGTCATTTTTCCAGCACACAATCACTGGCATGCCACCCAAACCTGGGGACGCTATGATCGATACACGCTGGTAGCCTATACAGTGCGGAATTGGACACATCTGCCCGCTGCTATGCAATGTACGCTCCAATCCCTGGGATTTCAGCTGCCAGAGGACCCAAGGGCTATCACATCACTGCATACTGGGCAGCGTGCTTTTCCTACCATCCTGATTGATCCTGTCGCCTAACGGCGTTACTGTCAGGTCTGCACAGCCAGCATGCATGCAGTCGTTGTCTTTGCACAGGACGCGTGTGATCTCAATCGATGTGAAATCGCAGAGTGTGGCTTTCGATTCAGTTGTTTTGCGGTAGCATCTTGAAGAGTGGTTGCACCATGACGCCATTCTTACTGATCATAAATACCTCTTCTGTCATCGTAGGCCCTTTTCCCTCTGCACTGTCTGGCCGCCCCTTGTGCCCCTAGGCCCTCTAGGCCCTCTTCCCTAGTCTCTGCCCCCCCTATCCTGCATCTGCCAAAATCTGAGTCGTTCATTCCGCCATGCAATGCGGTACCGCTTTTCATGCTTTACGTGCCAAGGTCATTCCCCATGGCTCAGCGCGACTCAGAGGCGGCACCGATGGAAGTTCAGGAAGTGACTTTTGCTCAGGATGGCAGCGCTGTGGCATACAATACTCCGACAGGCAGCCATGTGGAATCGCCATCCATAGGTCTGGATGGTGGTTGTGGAGTGACTCCAGCGCCTTTAGGTCAGGGCGTTGGGATCCTTCACAAGCGCTGCACGACGCCTGGATGTGGCAGGAGTTTTTGCTGTCCAGCCAATGCAAGGCATCGGCATTGCTGCTCGCTATGTGGCACAGGTTTTCATACCAACCGATGCCGAAAACTGCAGCGGGCTATGCGCGATTACAACACAGGGAGTATCAATCCGACGAGAGGCTCAGGTTCAGGCTCAGCAGTGGCAGCTGCCAAGGCAGCAGTCACACAGCCTCCGCCTTTGAATGCTTCCTCAACGGCCTCCTCTGTACTTGGCAAGGATGCTACAGCAGCTTCGGTCAACAGCAGGTCTCCGATGAGTTCTGAGGTAATCGTGGCAAGCTCCAGCTCCAGCTACTGCTTTGGTTTTGCGAGTGAAAGTGTTAATGCTCTAGATCTGGATGCAATGGACTGACAAGTCTACTGCTGTGTGTCTTCAAAGGAATCAGGCAAGGCTCCTGATGCTGCCACAGAGCGGCCGGATCTTAGATCTGTCCTACCCTCGTCGTGCATCGGTACTCCGAGAGGCGCTGTTGAATGAATGCTACTACTACTACTACTACTACTACTACTACTACTACTACTACTACTACTACTACTACTACTACTACTACTACTACTACTACTACTACTACTACTACTATTACACTACTACTACTACTACGACGACTACTACTACTACTACTACTACTACTACTACTACTACTACTACTACTACTACTACTACTACTACTACTACTACTACTACTACTACTACTACTACTACTCCTTACTACTACTAGCACTGCTACTACTACCACTGCTACGACTACTGCTGCTACTACTACTACTACTACTACTACTACTACTACTACGCATGCGGCAAATACGGAGAACGCAGGAGCCCAGGGCCAAAAAAAAAAAAAAGGCCAAAAAAAAAAGGCAAAGGACAATTCTCCACCCCTCTGACAGCATGCGGAAGGATGCCAGCCCCAGTTCCAACAGATCATGAGTATGTCTTCTTCCAAGCCATTGCACAAAGCCGTCAGGACCCATTTGGACCACTGAACACAACGACGAAAATGAAAACAACACTGCAAGAGCAACAATCCAAATCCCTCAGCATGTAACACACGATTACACTTGTCAATCAGGCCATTGGACTCACAAAGTGAATCCGTTGTATGTTGCTGAGGAACTGTATGGCTGGTTGGGAAGGGTCAGTTCCTACATTAATCATGAGACACTGCTGTGCTGCAGCCATAACGGCTGAAGCAGAGCAGCACTTTTGATTAGTGCCTTGGCGAGCCATGGGCTATGGAGTTGCCTGTGGCTGTGCGTTTAGCTCTGCGACCTGAGGGTCTTTCTGTTGTGGAGAAAATCGGAGTGGTCTCTCTGGCTGATTATGCCAACTTGGTGGCAAGGCCTCAGGAGCTCCTGGAATTCACGACAGACGCGAGGGTTCTGGCATACATGACAGAAGCGTGGCATATTGCTGATGTTCTCTACCGTGCAAGGGAGCAGCCTCATATGCCTCGTCCGGGCCATCTTTCGGTGCCTGCGAGTTCAGCGGGGCCGGTGCCTGCTCTTTCTTTGTCTGCCAGGCCCAAAGCACGTTTATTTGCTCCAGTATCTTTGATGCCCAAAGCATTCCGATTTGCTGTTACGCCCTCTGCAGCTCCGGTGTGCAAGAAGCCCGCGACTGATCGTCGCCAGCGATGTCTGGATGAGATGTTTCAAATTGCCTTGTCTTGTGGTTCTGAGAATGTGGTCTTCGGCAGGGAATTAGTTCTTCAGAAAGAGGAGGCCCGCCCTCTCTTCGAGCTTAAGTATCAGAACCTTGATGATGACAGGTTGTGGGCTGTCAGGTCATCTTTACGCCGCTGGATTCAGTGGCATTCACGTAACGCCCCAGCCGATCAGCCTTACTGGCGGCCATCTGCTGTAGCCTTGTCTGCCTTTCTGCTCTCTGTGAGTCAGGGCGGTCCAACTGCAGCAGCGGGGGTCCTTGCGGGTCTTAAGTGGTGGCGCGAACAAGTCGGTTTACCTTTGCCGGTTTCTGACGGTATGGTAGCACACTGGGCCTCCGCTCAACCGGGACATCAGCCGCAGCCTCGTGAACCACTTAAGCTGAGAGTCATGCTTGCCCTTTGCAAGGCTGGAGTGGCAGCTACTGGAGCCGTGCGCTCCTTTATCTGTGTGGCCCTGCTGGCTTTGGTGGCGTGCCTCCGCTTTAAGCACTTGCAGCGTTCGCAGGATTTTCACATTGCACATTGCTTCTTGCGCGCCACGTGCCGCAAAGGTAAGAGGCGGGTTAAGAACCAACAACCGCCCTTCGATTGGGCATGCCCGGCCATGCTGCCTTGCAATTTGCCTTTGGCACAGCAGATACTGTTGGATTATGCTGAGTTGAACAGGGCTTTGGGTTCCAAGCCTGATTTTGTCATCCAGGACTTTGATGTCGCTAAAGGTGAGTCCTTATCCCCGGGCTCCAAGCGCAGGCTGCGGGCACTTTCACTCCCGCGCTTCTGTGAGTTCTTGAGGTCTCTTCTGGTGTCCATTGGTGTTCCTGAAGGTGAGATCGGGAAAATTTCCAGTTACTCCTTGAGACGTTTCTTGCCTACAGCTGCCGATGTGCTTCGCCTTCCGGAGCAGCCGAAAGGACATGCTGATAGGCAGCACCAGCCGGCCCGACATAACATGAGTCATCATTATGCAGCTGACAAGGTGCTCACAGCTGCGCAGGTCAAGCTTGACATTGTTGCTTCCGTCAGTCTGGCTGCTGCTCGGGCCCCGAGTGCGATGACTTGGGACGATCTCAGGCAGTTGGCTCCCACACAGGAGGAGTTAGCTTCGGAGCTTCGTAAGCCGTGTTGGAAGCCTCAGGAAGTGTCTAATGCCACGCTTAAGCTGAAGAAGCGGGAGTTGCCCTCATCTTCGGCATCAGCCAGCTCGTCCTCGTCTTCTAGTTCGGATGCTGAGGTTTCTGATCAAGGGTTGGCCGCGTGGTTCCAGCAGAGTGCTCGAGGTTCCGCGCACCTTGTGCAAGGTATGATAGGGTCGCGTTTGGTGCCGTTTTGTCAAGATTTGAAGTCGCCCATGTTTCCAGAGGGGCGGGACCTGATGAAGGCCTTCGTATCTGCCGCAAGTGCATGACACGGGCCCCAGGTCATATCAGGCAGCAATTCAGTGCATAAAAATTCTGCGCCTCTTGAGTGCAGTTGTGCCTGTGCCTGCAGCTTTGACCCTTCGGCATGCGCTTCTGAGCATCGTGCTCTGGCGTTCGTGCTCTGAGTGGGGTTTGTCAGTGCTCCTTCTGCCTTTCTTGGCCTCTGCTGCCATGGGTCAGGGACAGTCAGGCCAATACCCTCCTGTGGATGTGGCCTTGGATATCATTTCGCGCTTGCCGCCGGCTTGGCTTATCGCCCTTCGCATATTGCATTGGATCGGCTCGATCGTGCAGGGGGTCTGCCTGGATTCCCGCCTGCTCCTATGCCGGGTCCTACTGGGCATGCTGCTGCTGGGCCGGCTGAGAGCCCGGTCGAGGGTGCCGCTTCTTCCGGTTCTACTGCTGTCTTCTACGCGGCGGCGACTGTGCCGGAGGTGCCTCAGACCGTGAAGTCTTCGGGATCGTCGAGGCGTGTGGATCCTGAGCTCCGCGACACCCGCACGCGGAGGACTGATTTGCGATGTGGTATCCCTTGCACTACGTGCCTTGAAGGCTGGTGCAATAGAGGTAAGAGAGGTCACTCGCACCACACATGTTGGCGTTGTGACTGTGAGCGGTCCGAGTAAGGCCGCAGCCTATGGGGGGCGCTACCGTATGAAAATGCTCATTTCGGTCGCGTTTGTGTGTCTGCCCAGGTGTGCAGTGTGCCTTCAAGAGCCTGTTGCCGCACAATCGTGTTCTTTCCGCTTCCTTCAGTTTTGTGCAAGCTGATTGTGTAGGCCGCTGCTGCAGCCATGGCCAAAGCCAAGCAGGAAGCACTGCGTCGATGCTCGCCTGCCGGAGGAGTTCGTGGCCTACTGCCTCAATGACCTCAAGATGGAGTCGTTAGATGACTTTGTCAATTTTGTGACGATCAAGGATTATGAGACTGAGATCAAGACCTCGCTGATTGATGCTTGTACGGCTACCAACCTGATAGATCCTTTGCGTGTAATTTTACACGTTCGGAAAATTTACACGCCAAAAACGGTATAAATGATTTATACGCCAAATTGGGGTGTAAAAAAATTACACTTTTTTGTGTAAATTCTGGCGTGTAAATTTTGTCCTATTTTGTTCAATGGGCCAAGCTGTGCCGAAAAGGTGTTTTGAAAAACAGGCACTAGGAAGTGCGAGATGTCGAAAAAGTAGTGGATTCCGAATGCCGGGCAGGCCGACGTGGCGATAGATTCGTATAGATTCCGATAGCGAGATTTGCCGACAGAGACAACATGTACAGTTGTGACTCCGAAGGCCGACATGGCTTCTCTTGTTTCGGTGAAAAA